GCTCCAGTCCTCGATGGTACGGGTGGCCTGCTCCAGTGAGCCGCCCACGCTGGCCGTTGACACCATCTCCTTGGCTGCTTGCAGCATCTTCAGCACGTTAGCCTGCGCCGAGCTGGCCGTGACGTCAGGCGTGGGTGCCCGCCCAGGGCTTGCCAGGGTCTGCACCCCATTGAAGCAGCTGTAGATGCCCTGCAGAGAGAAGGGGGGTCCTCACCATCAGCAGGGTTGATGGGGTCCTGCACCCATGAACCCCTCTCTGCTGTGCTGACATGATGCTGCTGAGGCTGAGATGTCTTGATGGCACCAATGTCCCCTCCCCAGCATCCCAGGGTGGGTGACACCACCTTCTGTCAACCCTTTCTATGTTGTCAAAATGGATGCAGGGTCATTCCTAGGGCTGTCCCTTTTCCACAGAATCTCTCTCCCCAACCAAGAGTTCACATCAGCACAAACATCTCCAGTCCCTCCTGGCTGAAGCGACGATGCCCACCAAGCTATGCCCATCCCCATGACACCATGGGGGTACATTTGGGCCGCCTGGGAACCTGCGGCAGCATCACTCACCCTGCTGATGGCCAGGAGGAAGTCAAGCTTGTGGGATTTGGGGACCGAGTGACGCAGCTTCCAGTAGATGAGGTGCTCCCAGGCGAAGACTAGCAGGCTCAGCCCCATGGCCACCAGCAGCATGTAGAAAACCCCGGCCATGTTGTCGATGTCCAGCTTGCTGCTCATCACCTCATTCTTCTCATTCTGGCAGATCCCCGACAGCCAAACCGTCTCCAGCTTCTGGGTCTCACCTAGGGCCAAACACACTCAGCTGTGAGGGGAGTGTGAAAATACTCCCCACCCCCCTGCCCGGGCATCATCTCCCCAAGCACAGCCCCTGCCCATTCCCATATCACCATGACTGGAGGAGAAAAACACCCCCAGGCTCCCAGAGCTGTTATCAGGCACTCCTTCTCCGGGGCCATCCCTGTCCCCTGCCCTGTGCCAGCTCACTGTCCCCTTCCCAGGCTCCCTGCTCCTTCTCCCCCTGACCCTCAGATTTTGTGTATGACCATCCAAGATTTTACAGCCTGCAAGAAGAGGAGGGACCCCAGAGGGAATGACATCTGCCCTTCAGCACCCAGTTGGGGAGATGCTGCTGGATTTAATGTCCCCCAATAAGGAGCTGGTGGAGAAACCCCTCAGTGACATCCTGAAAGGATTTGTGGAGGCTGGACAGGGTCTGAGGACCAAAGCCACTCGTGCCGGGAAAGGAGCAGACACAATGCCTAGTCCCTGGGCTAATCTGCAGGGCAGGGGATGGGGACAGGGCTAAGGAGAAGCTGGCCTGGGCACCCACCGTCTCCCAGGAACTGGAGCAGGGCCAGGTCAATGGCCCGCTTCCAACGCGAGTCCTTCTGCAGGGCGATGCCGTAGCCCGTGGTGGCAAACACCTTCCCGCTGCCAATGGTCACCAGCTTGCAGCCCTCGTCCTTGCCTGCCATGTAGTTGAGCACCGCCGCATCATAGATGAAAGCATCCAGCTTCCTGCCCCATCAAGAGGAGGGAGGGTGAGGAGGGGGCCCAGCAGCCCTTTTTTGGGAGCTGTATGCCTTTTGAGGGGGCTGTACCCCTTTTGGGGGGAGCTCTACCCCTTTCAGATAGCTGTAGCCCATCTGGAGGAGGTTGTATCCTCTCTGGGGGTCTCTGGCCCATCTTGGAGAGCCATAAACCCATTTGGGGGAGAAGTACCCAACCTGGAGGAGCTGTATCCTATTTGGGGGGAGCCATATCCCATCTAGGTGGGGCTGCATCTTTTTTTGGGGGACTGGTATGAAGCTTTACCCCATCTGCAGGGGGTTGTACCCTGTTTGGGGAGTCCTGCATCCCATGTGGGGAAGCCACACAGAGCCATACTCCATCTGGAGAGCTGTATCCAGCCCAGAGAGCCCATATCTCATTCTGGGGGGGGATACCCCAGTGGAGGAAGCCCTACCCAATATGGGAGGCATCATATCCCATCACAGGGAGCTATATGAAGCTCATCTGGGGGTCCTGCATCCCATTTGGAAAAGTTGTACTCCAGATCTGGAAGCTCATTTGGGGGAGCCATATCGCTGACCTAGGTGAGCCGTACCCCACATTTGGGGGAGCCATACCCCATTTTGAGGCTGGTGAGGGCATCCTCCACGGAGCGCTGGTTGTACTTCACCATGTGGGTGTGCATGTCGGGGTAGTTGCTGCGGATGTTCCTCTCGGTGCTGCCATTGGGGACGGTGCCGAAGCGGAACGGGGGGTACTGCTCCTGCGGCTTCTGAAACTGGAATGGGGAGCCCCGGGGAGTGGCGTCATTCGGGGTCTGTGTCCCTGCCATGTTCCCAGTGTGGCCCTGTTCCTTACACCCAGCCTTCCATCCACCCATGTGGCCCCCCCAGTGACACCTGGATACTTCTCCTCAACCAAAACAAAACCCTTATAACTTTTTTAGGGATCTCAGCCCAATCGGCAGCCCCACCTTCCTGTCGCTGAGCCCCGACACAGTGTCGATGTACTGCTCCTGGATCATGAAGGCGGCCAGGTTGGCGGTGTAGCTGGCGAGGAAGATGACAGCAAAGAAGGCCCAGATGAGCACCATGATCTTGCTGGTGGTGCCTTTGGGGTTCTCGATGGGCACCGAGTTGTTGAAGACCAGCGCCCACAGCAGCCACACCGACTTGCCGATGGTGAAGGAGGGACCTCCCGGCCCTGTGGGGACAGGGGACAGAGGGGACAGCCATCAGCCTGGCTGGGGACATGTGTCCCCCAGCTCTTGCCTCCCCCACTCACTCTTGCCGCTGGTGAGGTTCTGGTTGTAGCCGACAGGGCTGAAATACTCGAACACGAAGACAGTGACAGCCACGACGGTGAGGCACATCACGAACATCATGACCCACACGGCCGGGCTGTAGGGCTCTGCAAGGGAAATGGGACCCTGTCAGTCCCCCCCAGGACACCCCACAGCCTCACTGGGTCTCCCAGCAGCCCTCTGGGATGGATGGGGCTCAATCTCCTGAATATTGCCCCTCCTCGGCAAGGAGACAGGGGCTGTGCAGAGCCACAGGGCATTGGAAGGGAAGAGGGATGATGGTGGTGATGCAGCCATGCTTCTCTGCCTAAATAAAGTCAGGCTTTCATCACTGGGGAGATGCTTATGAGACGTTGCCCATATTTGGAGGGTTTCCCATGGGATCACAGTTGTCCCCTGCAATAGCTCTGGCCATGGAATCGCGCCTGCACCAGGCATGGGATCAGACCTCCCAGCCCCATTCAGCCCCTGGGTGAGCCCCCTGGGAGCTGGGGGTGTGGGGTGAGTCCCCGCCTGCCTGGGATGAGCCGGGACAGGGCATTGGGATCGGTGGGGATGCAGCCAGGCCCTCGCCAAGCAGCTGCTGAGGTCCATTTGTCAGGGCGTCCTTCGCTGTCAGGGAGGAGAAGCCTCCCCTGATGGGGATGCGGCTCATTAGCACAGGAGGCAACGGTGCAGGGACGTGGCACCCCAGCCCTGCCGAACCGGGGCAGGATGCTCTGTGTGTCCACGGGACTGGGGAAGGTGACCCTGCTTTGAGGTGGGGGATCAGGACCCACGGCATGGAGGGGACAGGAGTGGGAAGATGTGCCCAGGCTGGTGATGCCCCGCATGCCACAGCATCACTGGTACCCGCGCTCCCCCCCCGCCACCTCCCTGCATGGAAGCCCAGCCCCAGCCGATTCAGGACACCACCGCTGTGCCCTTGCTGAGAGCCTGAAGCCCCGACCGAGCGCTCAGTCTGAATTTTGTGACGACCCTGGCTGGTCTCCTCCCCTTCCTCAGCTACAGTTTTGCTTTTTAAAACTCATTAAAACTTTTAGCACCGGCGGTTTCCTACACCCGGCTGAACCACAGGCATTGGTGACGGCAGCAGAGAGAAGGGGTCTCTGGAGCAGAGCTCAGGGCTGGCAAATCCCCGGTTTATCTCCTCCCCGTCCTCCCTCCTCCACACAAGTAATGAAGAGGAGGAAACCACCGATCACAGCCTCCATCTCCGTAATAAAAGGATTATTCAGGCGCGGGGAGGAGGAAGCCCCAAAGCTGGCAGCAAAATCTCCTTCCCTCAAGACTTAGGCTATTTTTTTTTTCTTAGAAGTTATTAAAACTGAACAATGTTTCTAATTTGCACTTGTCAGAAGCATGGGATGAACCTGCAGACAGACAGACAGACCGATGGAGGGACACACAGCTCACCCAGGAAGGCAGAGGGTGAGACGGTGCCGTTGCTCCTGGCCACCATGACGCTGATGCCGGTCTCCACGAAGGGCACAGAGAAATCCACGATCTCCGAGCGCTCCTCGTTGATGGTGAGGGAGCCGATGGCCATGTCTGCGCGCTTGTAGTACACCTGGGAAAAGGGCAGATGGCTTTGGGATAGGCAGAGGGACCCAGACCACCTTCCTGCCCAGGGATGTGTCCCCATGAAGCCCCAGGCCAGGGTCTGCCCACCCCTACCTCTCCAATCATGCCGTTCCAGACCCCGCGGACAATCTTGCCATGTTTGCCATTGGTCACCAGATAGAGGTCATAGGAGAACTTCACTGCCTTGGCCAGCTTCTTCAGGATGTCGATGCAGAAGCCCTTGCAGCACAGCTTGGTGTAGGGATCCACGAGGCCATCACCACTGAAACCACAACAGGAAAAACATGCTAGACCAACCAAAGATGCTCTGAACTACCCCAGCACCTCCGGGACACCAGATGCCCAGGAAGCAATGGCCAAAATTGCTGCGCTCCATCCTCGCTGCTCACCTCTGGGAGGAGTTGGTTTGCTTGCGGCAGGGCACTGTGTTGCGCACGCAGACCCCGGTGCTGGGGTCCGTGTTCTCCACGATGACGAAGGGCCTCTCCTCCAAGGTGGCCACCGTCAGGTGCCGGTTATCAGCCACAGGCTGCAGGAAGGAGCCGTAGCGGGGCCACACCGGGTACTTCATGTGGATGATGCCTTTCTCCCACTTGCCCACCTGCCCCCAAGGGAGAGCACACCGTCACCACGGTGAGGGGCTCTGAGGGTCACACGGGGTCCCATGTTCATCCTCCCCACACCTTTGGGGCTTGTTTCTCCTGGAGCATTGCTAGGCTGGAGCTCAGTCATGGTGATCCCCATCTCAGCACCCCCTGACCACAGTGCAAGCTGTTTCCTCCAAGACCCCAAACACCAGGCTTGGGTGAGCACAAACCTGGCCAAACTTCACCCAAAATTCTTTAAATTGGAAATAAACCCCATCTGTGCAGCTCGTTTCAGGTCTGGGTGTTTGGCTGCTCATCCCCAGAGGTGGGCAGCTGCCTTTTTGCCTCTTCTGGAACTTTTCAGTCAAATTGCAGGGGAAAAAATATCCAGAGCTTTTGTGCTCAACATTGCTGTGAAGCCCCACCACACCACCATGGGTACCTTTGGTAGCAGCTACGGGTTTTGCATGGGACAACCTGCCTCAAGGTGGGACCATGCATAGCCCCAGGTTCACCCTTCCCAGCTGCCCCCCCAGCATGCCCATCCCAGGGGTCCAGTGGTCCTACCATCTCCCAGAGCCGGTGCTGGTTGAGTGAGATCACCACCATGGTGGGCCTGATCAGGTAGCCACCTTCATTGAAGGAGAAGTCCCTGTGCTCCCACGTCACATTGAGGAGGTGCCTGGTGGGACACAGCACCCCATGAGCCCCCAGCCATGCAGCCCAGCCCCACAGTGATCCACAGGTGTGGCACAGGTCCCGTGGAGTGACCTGGGGACCAGGTTTAGCCTCTACACAAGGGGCAGCAGGGAGCTGGAGAAAGCCCTGCCAGCAGGGAGGCACCAAGGATGGACCACTCCATAGCTGGGGATCACAGGCAGTCACAGCAGCCCTGAGCCCCATCCAAACTGCAAAGCAGAGCTGTGGACCCCACTCCATAAGACCCTCGTAGGTCTCAAATTGCAGAGATGCATGGGAAAAGACAAGGGCTGCTCTGAGGAGATGCTACAGAGGAAACCCAGCCAAGAGGCATGGACCACCAGCTGCAGCCCACAGCAAGCATCATCCCCCACTGCCCAGCAGCTCCTTCCTCCTCCACCCTTCCCTCTCCATTTCCCCATTCACCCCATTTCATACCCACCCCAGTGAGTCCCCACGCCTCACCGGTAGAAGCTGGTATTGGTGGCGGTGGCCCCAGCGGAGGCCCAGCAGTCCCGTCCCACCTCCGGGAGGTAGCCATAGGCCCGGAAGAAGCTGGCCGCCCCCATGGCGATGATGGCCACCCCATCCCGCACCTTCTGCCGCAGGCTCAGCTTCCAGCTCTCCGTCACCACACTGATGAGGCCGACGGGGAAGGAGGCGGGTGGCACCTCCATGTTGCCCACTGTCAGGCTGGGCACAATCCAGACATAGCCTGGCCCCACAAGGCCAGCTTGTTCTGCCATGGTGAAGAGGTATTCGGCCTCCTCTCGGGAGCAATAGACAATGAGAACCTGGGCATCGATCTGCCGCAGGAGCCGCTGCGTCCTGGAGCTGCTCTGCTCCTGGCTCATCTCAAAGGTGAGCACCTCCTGCAGCTCCCAGCCAAAGTAGCTGGCATCCGTGAAGGAGCGGATGACGTCCAGGAAGATGTTGTAGCCCGGGTAGAGGCTGGTGATGACAGCGAAGGAGCCCCAGTCGTATTCCTCCAGCACCTTGAAGATCACCTGGATTTGCTGCTCGATGGAGACACCCAACTGCAGGAAAGCCGAGCCGGGCTCCTGTGGGAGGAGAAGGTGTCAGGGGCTGCTCCAGCACCATGCTCCAGATCTCTTGCACCTGTGCAAGCCACCTTGAATTTGTCATCATGAAAGGTTTGAGGGAGGCATGCGCTGGTGTGGTCCATGGGCTGGAGACACCCAAAATGGGACTAATTCACCATTGGTCTTCAAGGGTCATGCAAAGGGTCAAGCTCTGCAGTCTCTCCTCCTTTTCTCAGCTTGTTGACCAAAACCTCATCCATCTTCCAAAGGAGACCAACAATTTCTCATTAAATCAGGAGAGGGAGTGGGGCAAGGGAGGGCGAGTAACTCCCATCGCAGCTCCAGCTCTACCTGCTGCCGCAGCCCATGCAGCTCCTTCCCTCCTGCCCCACCTCCCCAGCCATCTGGCCTCTCATTAGCTAACCTTAATTGATCTGATTCTGTATTAAATGATTCAGCAAGTGGCATTTGCAGAATGTCGCACACAGGCAGCAGGGTTTTGCCACCCAGATCCCCTCCACCTCCAGAGAAGTAGTTTTTTTCCCAAAAGGTTGGTGGTCCAGCTGGAGTGGTGAGCCCCAGGTGGCCCAGGGACCTCAGACCTCAGAGCCTTCAGACAGGTCCCTCCACCATCCCCAAAATACTCAACCTCTGGTGAAAGCTGCAGAAAAACACCGAGACCCCAGCAAAGCCATGGCTTATTTTTAGCTGCTTTAGGGCGCTCCACCTGAACCCTCTGCACCCACCTGAGCCCATTGAAACCACCACCACCCACCCACAGCAGCTTGGGGTGGTCCAGGAGCACTGGCGGGAGCAGGCAGGGCTGCCGAGGAGCCATCCAGGACATTTAGACCCCAGAACCTCTGGGCAAGCAGAGTATGAAATCAGCGCCCCAAGGAGCAGCAGGGTTTCCATCCCGGGGGCTGGTGCCATGGGAAGGAGCCAGCGCTAGGACCTCCTCAGTGCCCAGGCTGGGCAGGGTGAGACAAGCAGCCAGGAGACAACCCAAACTTCCCCCCCCGGGAGGGACAGGAGCCTCGCCACAGCCATCGCCACCCGCCCGGCACCCTCCAGCCCAGCTCCAGCTCTCCAGGCAGGCAGGTGACAGTGACAGTGACAGTGTCTGACTCCAGTGAGGAGCAGAGAAGCCAAAAATCCTCTTTTGGCTTGTGGTGCACCTGAGATGGCTGCCGCAGCTGAGCAAGGCTTCTCCATGCTGCCTGCCCGGCCATTTCAGGCTGGATCCTTCCCTGGCGAGGTGGAGATGGAGGAGGATGCAGATGATGGAGGATGTCAGCCCTGTAGCTGCCCTGGCAGGCCCTGCACCACAATGCCAGCACCCCTCGGTGGGCACAGCCTAGAAGGGATGGCCAGAGGACACCAGGGATGTCCCTCCATGGGGCACTGAGGTCCTCTTCCATGTCACACCATGTGGGACGGCCATGCTGCCACAACCACTGCCTATTTCTGTGCACGAGCCTCTGTGCTGCAGCCCAGCATCTCCTCTGCTCTCCTGCATTTCACATCCCATCTCTAATAAGTTCCCATTTCTCCCACATCCTCACGGAAATAACCCCTGGGGAACACCTCACCTTTGGGGTCAGGACCACAGCAGAGCCCCCACTGATGCTGATGATGGGGACCTGTGTCTGGGAGGAGATGAAGTCAAGGATCTGGGCCACGGCCTCCGTGCCGACGTTGTCCTCGAAGATGATGCCGTGGATCTTGTGACTGGCGAGGATGTTGCAGATCTGGGTGAGGAGGGTGCTGGGGTTGGTGTTGTTGACGACGACCGTGATGGGGTGGATCTCCAAGGGCATGTCCAGGAAGCTCTGGGGGCTCAGGCGGGAGCGGATGTGCAGGGGGTAGGAGGTGCCCCCAAACACCACGGCCACGTTGACCACCGGCTCCTCGGGGCCTGGCAGCAGGAGGTCCGTGAAGGCAGCCGAGCAGCCCAGCACCATCGACAGTAGCAGAGCGTGCGCCGGCGCTCTGCCCATGTCCACCGCCGCGTCCCTGCCAGGATGGGACACAGCCACTTGCATCTGGCCACCTGCCAGGACCCCCGCTCACCCCAGCCCTCCCCACCACCCTGGAGACAACACATGGGGGGGTTGCCTCCAGGGAGAGAGAGGGGTACCCTCATCCTTTGGAGGCTGGATGTGGAGGGGGGATGACCACCCACCGTACACACCAGTGCTGTGTCCCTTGTCCCCAGTGCCACCAACCGCTTGCCCCTTCCAGCTGGTCCTCACTTCCCACCACCATCCCATCCCCATCCCAGCACCACCGTTCCCCTCCCAGCCTTCCTGCCCCTCTCTCTCCTCCAAAACCCATCACTACCACAGTGCTCTCTATCGCCCCTTCGGCCAGGGCTGGGGACAGCAGTGACAGGTGACAGGAGGGGCTGTCAGCTCCCTGGTGCCTCTCCCCATAGTCGCCTTCAATATTTGGAGGCTCTGCCCTTGAGGGAGGGTTCAGCTCTGCAAACCTCATGCTGGGATTTTGCAAACCACACTGTCACTGGAGCAGCAGGTCCTCTGCCTGTCCCCTGTCTGTCCCCTGTCTGTCTCCTGCCCTAGCCCCCTTGCTACTGCTTCCCAAATCCCAACCAAAGCGCCCACCTGGCTCCTTATCTCCAAGTCTCTTCCCTGGACACCATCCTTCAGTTTCCCCCACTTCTTGCCTTTACCCTCCACTGCACGTCTCCCCACTGGCATCACCCACCATGCTGCGTCTCTGCCAGCTGCACCCCAAAGCCAGGCTCTGGGGAAGGATTTTTGAGCACATCCACCCTGCCAGGTCCCCAATTCTCCACTGTCTGTGGGTGCCTAGCCCACAGCAGGTGGAGTGACAGTCCCTGGGGGGGAGGGCACATGTCCCTGCCCACAGCAGTGCATCCCCATACTGAATCTCACCCCCTCCTCGAGGCCCACCAGGAAAACCAGCCCATGGGGAGACGTGCAAATGGGGACATGCCAGCCCCTCCGAGCCCCGCTGTCACTCGGGCCATCGCCCTAGTGCCATGGCAGGGGACAGCAGCCCTCTGCGGTGGCACTGGCCACACGCCGGTGTCACTCCATGCAGCAAGACTCCAGCTGGTGCTCAGAAATGTCACTTGCAATTAAAAGCTGCTGTTGCTTAACAAGTCCTTGGCACAGCCAGAGGAGCACCTTGCCGAGTCCTGGATGGTTTTGGGGTGCCCTGGGGCACCGCACCCCAACACTCTTCTATGCCGCAGTGACAGACAACCTCTTTGCATGCTGCAAAAGCACCGCCAACGTGTTGGATTAAAAACGCAGGAAATAAACCCAATGACTGCCTGGCCCTTGCTACACAGTGCAGATTTGAGAACCAGGGCTGTCCCCTCCGGAAAGATGGGGGACACGAGCTCCATGTCCCCATCCTGCACCCCATGGGTGCTGGGAGGGCTTGGGCAGGCAGCTGGGCACCAACACCCACCAGGCAGCATCTCCTTCAGCCGCATGGGTTTTGGCAGGGGATCACCCAACCCCAGCACCCACCAGCACCCAGGGGGGTCTGCCCTGCCTGGCTGCATCTCCCCACCACCCTGCATCGTAGCTGGCCAGGCTGCAGGAGCCACAATGCCACGCCGATGGCCGCAGCCGGGGCCCCTTGGCTGGAGAGGGCAGTGGGTGAGTCACAATGCCATGCTGGCAGCATCCCACGCTCTGGCACAGCCAGCCCAGTGGTGGGGCGGCCCATGCCACCCGCTCCTTACTGCAAATTCCCGAGTATTTTTAGTCCCGTGATAAATAATTCATCGGGAATCCGGCATCAGCTACCCGAGCAGAGAGGAAGGGGAGCAACACACCACCCAAAACAAACAGAGCTGCTCTCCCAGCAGCTCTGCCCGTCTGAGCCCTCCTCAAGGACATTTAAATATACTCCAGGCCCTCGTGGTGACTGAGCAGGTTTGCTCACACCAGCCCTGGCACCTCACCCATCCCAGGCCCTCATCCTCCTCTTCCTCAACCCAGGTCTTTCCCGTATTCCAGAGCCTCTTCTAGCACCAAATAATCCATGCACAGGGCCAGCAAAACCCTTCCAAAATGCCAAATGCTGCCTCTGAAGGGGCTGCTCTGGTCCCGACCGCAACTGAGAGCAGGTTTGGGCAAACTGTTTTCCCACTGGACCGAGCCGCAGGTGAAAAGCATCCCCATCCCTCATCCCTCGTTGCGTGACAGCAACGGCAGTGCAAGGAGTTGGACACGGGCACTCCACATCGTTCAGCCATGGCTAAGACAACCAGGGGAAGGAATTTCCATCCTTCCTGGAAATCTGGTGCTGGGGCCGGAGTTGAGCCACTCACTGCAGCCCTTGGCTACTGCAGAGGAGGATGGAGGGGTTCAGGGCCAGTGAGTCTGCGGCTGGCAGGGGCTCTATGTGCCGATGGAGCCAGGGATGCTCCAAAATGGCCGGATTCGGGATGCAAAGAGCAGCCGGCTCCTCCAGTCCAGCAAACTCCATGCATTTCCAGCCTGTTTTTTTTTCTAAGAGTGAGACAGAGGGGTATGGGAAAACATGGATTTTTTGGGGGATGAGGAAGGCAAATTGCAGGAAACTGGTGGAGGCAGAAGAAGAATCGAGCCCATCCCTGCGCTACTGCCAAAGCGGGGGCTGCTCTTGGGCTCAGCACAACACAGCAAAGCCCCCATGCACATAAAAAAAAAATCCACATTTTCCAACCTCTCATAGCAAGCACTGTGGAATCGCTCCTTTGGGAAAATGCCTTCCCAAAAGGGAGGTTTTCCAGCTGGGCGAAGGTGGCTGGGCTGAAGCAGGAGAAAGGTGGTCCTGGGCGGGAGCCCTGACAGGGCAATGCCACCACCCAAAGCCTCCCTGGGGACCAGAGGGCACCCACGGAGCTGCTCAGTGGTTTTGGCATTTGCTTTTTGCCACTTTGGGGTTGTTTGGAGCAAGTTAACCCCTTTCCTAAGCACAGCTTCACCTGATAAAACCAAAGACTTGCAGAAAACTCCTGCTAAAGGCACCGATTGAGCTCTTATCTCCGTCCATCCCCTGAAATGTCATTTCAATGCAACAGAGAAAGTTTGCTCCTAATTTTAAACCTCCTTTTTGCCCCCTCTCCATTCCTCCCTCCCCTGCTCCGAGGGGAGAAGAGCTCATGCAGGTATTTTGACCTCAGGAAAGGGAGAAACAAAATCCTGAAATGCAAAATATCTTTGGAGAAAAAAGAAACCTTATCACCCAAAAAAAGCCTCTGAGCCTTAAACCACACGGAAGGTGCAGTCTGCACCAGGGGAGGGGGAAACGCTGCCGATGGATGGGAAGGATAGAACGAACCCAAACCTGGCAGGAGCCGCATGGAGAGGATGGGGGACACTGGAGAGGGTGCTTGTCATTGCCCGTGTGGGGGTCACTCCTGTATAGCAAGGAGACCTCAACGGAGCCTCCCAAGAAGCAGGGAAAGCAGCAAAAACCTCCTCAAAGCCAAGTCATCGCCATCCCTGTCCCCACGCAGGGGTATGACTGGGGAGGGAGATGTGCTGGCAGCCTCCGGCAAGCACTGTCTCCTTTCAACCTTCATCTGCTACC